CAATACATCATCAGGAGCTTGCAATGCTGCAGAAAAGAGGAAGAATTCAGAGGAAATTTGTTCAGGGGGAACGTATTTTGCTCCAGTGAAGTAAGGTGGCAGGATATGGTAATTGACCCAAGTACACCAGTGCCCAGTACCAGAACAACTGAATATTAAAGCATTAGAAGACAGTCAGCCTACTATAGAAAGGACTTAATGAACATAACATTAGTGACATAACAGTAATAAAAAATTCTGTTAGACTTCGATATGATGTAAAAGACTTTATATTCTGAATATAGATCAATCCGGCAACTGTCTTAGGAATTTCAGTTCACTTATAAAGCAGGTCTATGACCAACTAACTTAAAATAAGCTAAAACATCTGTAATTTATCCACAGGGAGAAGGCCATAATTTATCAGTCCCACAAGACTCGTGGCAGATTCAGGTTTAACCATCAAAAACAAGCAGGAAATTGGACTCTAATTCATTGGTGTAGAACTACAACACTTAAGACATTCCTAAGCATTCTTATAGGAGTCTGGTTCTAGGCTCAATTATAAATAAATCAAGTTTGAATAAGATGCCAATGTTAATGTATAATGAATATTTATCATGTTTTATAATTGCCAATTCCAGAATATTTCATTGAAGACAAGTGAAGCAAGGAACAATGACTCTGGCTTCTGACTAATTTGCAGAGTTATTGCATACTCTAATATGGCTGAAAATTGCATTTAACTCCTGCACAGTTCATATTGAATATTGGTGTTGTGATATCCTGACATTTACAGGTTTTCCAGTCTGTCCCACATAAAATAAGTTGCAACCATTGCATCCAATTCTGTGAACACTCCAACACAATGTTGAGGAGAATTCCTCATCAAAATGCTTTTAACAGTCGATGAATTTTTAAAAACTACTTTTATGTTAAATATTTTAAGGACATTCGGCAGGACAGATAGTTTCTCATTCTAGATTCAGCCCTATAATAAGTTTTCCTAGCAGTCAGCAATGCTGATTCCACAAACTCCTTAGGGTACTACAGTTTCATGACAATATGAAATATTTTCCTAATTTTTTCATCGAGAAACTCTGGGCTGCACACTGGATAACCTCTCATAAACATAGTGAGAAAGACACTCCTTTTTACTCTTGTCTCATGGTTGGAATAAATGTATGATCACATATTAGTGGCCTTCCTATATACTGTGAACTTGAACTTTCTTTCAACCCAATGTATCAACACATCTAAGATTTGAAGGTTAGATTCCACTTCTTTATCCACAGTGATTTTGATAGACGGGTCCCGAGAGTTAAGGTAGAGATATATCCAGGGTCATATCATATGGCCAAAAATACAAGATGTCATCCACATGTCTGAACAAGTTAACTTTACAAGGTATTAAGTTTTTCAACAGCCTAACCTCGTAAAACTCCATATAAACATTGTTCAATAGGAAAGACAATGGATTTCCCATAGCTATTCCCTGCCTTTGCTCGCAGTATTTTCCCTCAAACTCGAGCCTGCAGTCAGCTACACACAGCTTAATCAGCTTAGTAATGGTTTTCGTCATGAAAGGTATGGAGAACATATCTAATTCTTCTTCCAAATAGAGAGCAAATAGGAAAAAGTCACTCGGGTGAACAGCGCCTTGACATCAAAACTTACTGGTGCAAAATCATTAGACATGTTAACATTATGCAAATTGTCAATGAGATCAACATTGTTCTTTATGTGGGATTCAGAAATGTTGCCCAGCATTGGAGTTAATACTTTTACCAATAATTCTGACAGGGCATATGTCACCGATCGTACAAGGCTAATAATAGGTCTCCATGGAAACCGGGCTTGTGGGTCTTAAACCGTACATATAAGGAAGTGTCGCCTACCTAGCCGATAACCTGATTAATTAATTGTTCATTACCTCTCAGTAAGGTCCTAAACTGTTTATCAAACTTACTAATAACCTGGTCCAATGGGTTATTATTAAGGGGCACATAAGCTTCCTTGTCTTCTAATAAAATGTTAATTATTTGTTACAATCTACCATAATTATCACATATGCTAAATAATTTACATAATTATTATCGCAATTGCTATGTCTGCTTTTGCAAGGTAAAATCTAGGATCTTTCATTCATGGTATGACTTAACAAATCTACGAGAGCATGTCGGTTACACAGGTGCGAGCAAAGTCACATATACCATGCCTTTACAAATGGTGAACGTTTCAGGGGACAGATCCCCTTGTTTCTCCAGACTGCAAAAAGATTTGGCATGGTCAATATAATTAGTGTCACCACTAGTAGGCGTGAAATTTAACTCATATCCTAGGTCTGTCTGTTGGTCACGGGTAAGTTCAACACTCGACAGGTTAATAGAACTTCGGGTTGAGAATAATGAAACGGAATATTGTTTGCTAGAAAACTAAACATGGTGATGTAGGATCGAATCCTGGTCAGCTGCAGTTCTGTTTATGATTTAAAATCACTTGTTTCGTGATTTCATTAACATATAGACTGAAGGCTGGTACCCAAACAGGATAAGGTTGAAATTAATCTGCGAGGCTCCACGGCCACGTATGTTCTCATATCAGAGTAAACACGCCCAGTTCCACTGGGCGCATGGTGTTTGAGAATTGTTGGCTCAGTGAATAGAGTGATGTGTACATTGTCCTGTTCTCACGGGGCTGGACAGGGTGACGCAGGATCGAATCCTGGCTAGCCATAGTTCTGTTAATGATTTAAAATCACTTATTTCGTGATTTCATTAATATATAGACCGCTAATGAGGGATGAGGCTCAAATTAGTTTCTAAGGCTCCACGGTTACGTATGTTCTTGCATCAGGGAAAACTTGACAGAAGGAAACACCACCATTACCATAAAAACGTGTACACTCTTTGCAACCCTTCCAGGTTATTGGGTGGAACTTCATGAGGATATTCCGAAGATTTTCGACGGTTATATCTGTCCACAGATGTTAATCTCGGACCATGGGACCATCTTCGTGGCAAGCTCTAACTGCATCACGGAGTTACGCCACCATCAACAGGTGCAGAATCTCCTTACCACCTGGGGTTGGATTATAGGTATGGTTAAACGCTGCATCGGGAAAAACGGAACACCGACAAAAAAAATCGGTCTCGAGATTGGAATGAGAATCAGCAACCGATCTCTAATCTACATAAGGTAAACAGCGAACCTGAAAAGTCCTTACACCATCACATTTACTGAGAGGATTAAGGTTAGAACCAGTCCCCATGTATAGAGAGGCACCTGATCAGTATGACCAGAAGGCTAGAACCAGTCCCTATGTATGGAGTGGCACCTGATCAGTATGATCAGAAGGCTAGAACCAGTCCCTATGTATAGAGTGGCACCTGATCAGTATGACCAGAAGGCTAGAACCAGTCCCTATGTATAGAGTGGCACCTGATCAGTATGATCGGAAGGCTAGAACCAGTCCCTGTTTATAGAGTGGCATCTGATCAGTATGACCAGAAGCCTAGAACCAGTCCCTATATATAGAGTGGCACCTGATCAGTATGACCAGAATATAATGACAGAAATATCATTAGAGAAATTTTGAAATGAGTTAACAAAGTTATTGATCGCTGGGTCAAAAACAGGCATGACGAGCATCTGGTCTCTCTTTGTGAAAGACATTATGAAGTTTGAAGAATAACAGACACAGTACAAGGACTCGAACAATATACAAACAACCCCCACTTAGGAGACAGGTTGTGTTATGGCATGTGTAAACTTTGTAAAAGATAAATAATATCCCCTGACGACATTGTTTCAATTGATAACCAATGTCTCCCAACACAGTGGCAGTTCGTCAATATATTGTAAGTTGGACCTGAGTGGTAATGAGTAATTCGAACAGCCAAATTGATAAACAACCGGAAACACTAGTTTGTGAACTCTAAATAAGTTAATTCACTTGGAAGATATAGACTTATGATATAGACTTTAAGAAACTTACACCAGAAACTCAAGAAATACTTTACGAACTTAGACCTTAAATTATTATGTGTCTGTTATTGATAGGGTGATGACAGACATCTCCGACTAATGATATTATGATTTTTATGAGTTGAGGATGTCATATTTGTCATTTTATGAGCTGAGGATGTCATATTTGTCATTTTATGAGCTGAGGATGTCATATTTGTCATTTAAAAGGATCTCGATACGCTAGCTTCATTTTCAGTCATATTTGATAGAATCCTAAGATTAATTATTTGTCATGAAAATAAAGTCAAAGAAAACCTGACTAGCTAAGAACACAAAAAAAATCAATAGTCATTACAGTAAAATAAGCGAGATAATCCATAGACTCTGATATGCAGTACATAACGAATGATGTCACATTCTGAGGGTTCTGGCGTCTTCAGGCGTTATTCTCCTCCTAGTTTATATAAGGAATGGATCTCGCTTTTTAGTTGTTCCCAAGAAACGTTATGTTTACCAGACTACGAGCATTAATTTTTACTTCCAAACTTCTAAAATGATCTGTTTTATCAAAACACACTATAGTGTGGTAACATTACGATAAGAATAGAAAACAAATCATTCACGGATTACTGTAGTAGCCAAAACCACATGCATTCACATCAACCATCCCACATGTTGCTTTGTAAGTGCGTTTACCACCCATAAACTCCACCTGGAACTCATGCAAATATTAAAGACAATTCTCATGGGGGCTAATCAAGGGAGGTGTCCCAATATAGGAGAGGTCTTACGGGGATATAACTTCTATAATGTAATTGCAACAGATCCTGAATGCTCTGAATAACATACTTAATGAGGATCCTTGCAAGTTGTTAATAACGTTGGTGTGACTTTTGAGGGTGTTGGTGTGGAAGATCCCAAGAAAAGTTAAACCCTTCCTCCTTCCCTCCGGATCAATCTTGGATCAGAGATGTTTGCTTTCATTGATTCTTCATTAACTATAATTTCCAAAAATGAGAATAAGGTTGTCTACCCTAAAAGCCATCACTTACCCGAGTAACAGGAAGGAGATGCTTGCCGTTGACAGGAGAGGAGTAGATGGTAAGAGGAGACTGTAGAGAACTAACATCATAGACAACCACAGTACCATCACTCCACCCAGCACCAACCATGCTGCCGTACTGACTCCACCATCACAAAATATAACAATATATCAGTATACATTGAGGAAACATCAAACCTTTATTTTAACATCATGCTCACCTACGAATTTTTAAATAATTATTAAATTTTGCATAAAACAGGGACATTATATGAACGACATTCTCATAAAATTACCTTAGGATGAAAGTGGACACAAGTCACTCCACACTGAGAGCGAAACGTTCTCTCAGGAGTGCTGGGATTCTTCAGTGTAAATAAACAAACCATTCCTCCCTCCTCAGCCCCATCCACCTCACCTGATAAACACAACAATATCCTTGGTAAATATTTACCATTACACCCTCGTGTAAGTTTGGAATTAATTAATGATTAAACACGTCAAATAGTAAGTTATTTCTATAAAGAAAAAAAACTTTATTTAGTGCAAATGAGCGGAAATTTTTCCTATCCCATCTAATCCAACGTTACCTAACCTGGTGCTTCAATTTATCCAACAGTGCTACTGATGTTTCTCAGGTTTTCGTCAACTAAATTTTCGAATTATCTCAAAGAAAATAAAGCTCTTGAAATAAACTGGGAAAACATTACTTATGGTAAGTTTGTTTATGAAATGTATTAGCGATGCTGTAGTTTGACGCCAAATGACTTTGAAAAGGCGATAAATGACATGCCCATGCACTCTGCCCCAGTGCCAGACTCGTGGAACTCCGTGTTCATCAAGAACTGCAAGAAGCCCCTATCACGAGCCTTTTCCATCCTATGGAGAGGGAGCATGGACACGGGGGTCGTCCCACAGTTACTAAAAACAACAGACATAGCCCCACTCCACAAAGGGGGCAGTAAAGCAACAGCAAAGAACTACAGACCGATAGCACTAACATCCCATATCATAAAAATCTTTGAAAGGATCCTAAGAAGCAAGATAGCAACCCATCTAGAAACCCATCAGTTACACAACCCAGGGCAACATGGGTTTAGAACAGGTCGCTCCTGTCTGTCTCAACTATTGGATCACTACGACAAGGTCCTAGATGCACTAGAAGACAAAAAGAATGCAGATGTAATATATACAGACTTTGCAAAAGCCTTCGACAAGTGACCATGGCGTAATAGCGCACAAAATGCGTGCTAAAGGAATAACAGGAAAAGTTGGTAGATGGATCTATAATTTCCTCACAAACAGAACACAAAGAGTAGTAGTCAGCAGAATCAAGTCCGAGGCAGCTACGGTGAAAAGCTCTGTTCCATAAGGCACATTACTCGCTCCCATCTTGTTTCTCATCCTCATATCTGACATAGACAAGGATGTCAGCCACAGCACCGTGTCTTCCTTTGCAGATGACACCCGAATCTGCATGACAGTGTCTTCCATTGCAGACACTGCAAGGCTCCAGGCGGACATCAACCAAATCTTTGAGTGGGCTGCAGAAAACAATATGAAGTTCAACGATGAGAAATTTCAATTACTCTGATATGGTAAACACGAGGAAATTAAATCTTCATCAGAGTAGAAAACAAATTCTGGCCACAAAATAGAGCGAAACACCAACGTCAAAGACCTTGGAGTGATCATGTCGGAGGATCTCACCTTCATGGACCATAACATTGTATCAATCGCAGCTGCTAGAAAAATGACAGGATGGATAATGAGAAGCTTCAAAACTAGGGATGCCAAGCCCATGATGACACTCTTCAGGTCACTTGTTCTATCTAGGCTGGAATATTGCTGCACACTAACAGCACCTTTCAAGGCAGGTGAAATTGCTGACCTAGAAAATGTACAGAGAACCTTCACGGCGCGCATAACGGAGATAAAACACCTCAATTACTGGGAGCGCTTGAAGTTCCTGAACCTGTTCTTCCTGGAACGCAGGCGGGAGATACATGATTATATACACCTGGAAAATCCTAGAGGGACTAGTACCAAACTTGCACAGGAAAATCACTCACAACGAAAGCAAAAGACTCGGCAGACGATGCAACATCCCCCCAATGAAAAGCAGGGGTGTCACTAGCACGTTAAGAGACCATAAAATAAGTGTAAGGGGCCCGAGACTGTTCGACTGCCTCCCAGCATACATAAGGGAGATTACCAATAGACCCCTGGCAGTCTTCAAGCTATCACTGGACAAGCACCTAAAGTCGGTACCTGACCAGCCGGGCTATGGCTCGTACGTTGGTTTGCGTGCAGCCAGCAGTAACAGCCTGGTTGATCAGGCTCTGATCCACCAGGAGGCCTGGTCACAGACCGGGCCGCGGGGGTGTTGACCCCCGGAACTCTCTCCAGGTAAACTCCAGGCAAGTAACATGGCTGAATACTAACAAGGACTGACCAGGCGCGTCAGGCATCGAGTGTATTCTAACAAACAGTTATGTAATGTTTTTAATAAAATCTCCAAAATTTTATGGAAAGAAGGAATATTTGGAGACATTACTTGCATTTGCAATCTGATACCCAATCTTTCATTGCCTATTTTTTTTTTTGTTACCCTAATTACTTTCCTCTTGTATTCACTTTTCCTTTCCACCTCTTACACACCCTTTCAGATTCGTCCACCAAGATTTGCAATTTCTTTTCAGAAATTCCCAAAAGCACTGTCATCAGCAAAAAAACATTTGTGACAACTCTCACTTTGTGTTGGATTCTTTATCTTCCAATCCCATACCTCTGCCCAACACTCCTATAAATACATTAAACAACCATGGTGACATCACACATCCTTGTCTAAGGTCTACTTTTCCTGAGAAATACTCTCCCTCTCGCCTACGTACTCTAACCTGAGCCTCACTATCTTCGTTAAAACTCTTAACTGCTTTCATTAAACTACCATCTATTCCACACACTTGCAACATCTACCACATTACTTCCCTATCCACCCTATCATATGACTTTTCCAAATCCATAAATGTAACAAAGACTTCTTTACCCTTATCTAAATACTTTATTCCGAAACGTTTCGCCTACACAGTAGGCTTCTTCAGTCGAATACAGAAAGTAGGCAGGAACAGTAGAGATGTGAAGATGTAATCAGTCCATCACCCTTGAAGTCGTAGAATTTGAGGTTGTCAGTCCCTCGGCCTGGAGAAGTTCAGTTCCATAGTCAGGAACTAACTTCTATGACTATGACTATGACTTCTATGACTATGGAACTGAACTTCTCCAGGCTGAGGGACTGACAACCTCAAATTCTACGACTTCAAGGGTGATGGACTGATTACATCGTCTTCACATCTCTACTGTTCCTGCCTACTTTCTGTATTCGACTGAAGAAGCCTACTGTGTAGGCGAAACGTTTCGGAATAAAGTTGCCTAACTGTTGCCTTTGTGTCTTACCTACCAACCTGTCGGTATTGTATACCATTTTGATGTTTATCTAAATACTGTTTACTTTAATGTTTCAATGTCTACACATCACCTACCCTACACAACTCTACACCTATACACCTCACCAGGCATACTCAAAAGGCTTATTACCTTATAATTATTACACTATCTTATGTCCCCTTGCCTTTATATAAAGGAACTATACATGCTCTCTGCCAGATTATTGAATAAAAGCACCAACCACTCCAAAAGTATATCTCCCCCCCACCTGCTTTTAACATTTTTGTTTTGATCCCATCAATCCCAACTGTTTCATTCCATTTCATCTTACCCACAGCCTCACTCACTTCCCGCACACTCACATCTAGCTCTTCCTCGCTCCTAAAGGATGTTATACCTCCCTACCCAATGCTCGAAATCACAGCTTCTCCTTCTTCTTCTTCTTCATTAACATTCAACAGTTCCTCAAAATATTCCCTCCATCTTCCCAATACCTCCAACTGCCCATCTCAAAACTCTCCTCTTCTGTTTTTAGTTGTCAGATATATTAGTTCCCTAGGCTCTCTCAGCTTATTAATTGCACTCCAAACATTTTCTTATTCTCAGCAAAATTTGTTGACAACACTTCACCCACTCTCTCATTTGCTCTATCTTTATATTCTGTTACTACTGCTTTTTCTCTCCATATACTCCTACCTCCTTATATCACTTTCTTTTTATCACTTTTTACTTCATTATTCCAAAACTCACTCTTCCCCCCCCCCCTCCTCCGCGCCCACCCTCAAATCTTACCTTAGCCGCCACCTCCTTTAGTTACTAAATTTTCACCGGTCTCTTAAACATTGATGGCATTCTTTTGATACATCTCTTGCCCCTCCATAAACATTCATATCCGTAAGTCTATCCATCAATTGTTCATAAACTACTACATAATCCAACAAACTAGCGTCACTACGCCCTGTGTCATATCGCATATACTTATTTATCCTCTTTTACTTAAAAATGTGCATTACCTATTACCAAACCTCTTTCCATACATATGTCAGTCATAGGACCCCCAATGGAAATAAGTCACTCTGACTTTTTTGGGTTATCCCAGGTTCTCTACACATATGCTGCAATGTATGATAATATATGTAACTGTATTTATGTATACGTGACTAAACTTACAGGCTTCCCTTTTATCATCTACCCCAGGCACCCATGACGAGGCCTCAATAAGGAATTTCACAGCAGACCTAGAGACTGTTGACTGGCCTACAGAATTCTCCAATGCCAATGGTATTGACGATTGGACAGACATTTTTCTTAACAAAATACTTAGACTACACAACAAACATTTTCCTATAAAAACGAAACATTTCACGATTAAACGGCTTGGTTGCCCATGGCTAACCAGCAGCATTCTGAAATCCATTGATAAGAAACACCAATATGAAAAGCAATATAGACAGGACTTAATACACAAAGATATTCTTAAACAATATTCATCAGTTCTCACCAAAGTAATAAAGAAAGCCAAACAACTGTACTACTCCAGCAGATTCACTGACACAAGAGGAGATATAAAAAAGACCTGAAAAACACTTTCCCAGATTCTGGGGACCCACAAACTGAAAAAAACAAGAATATTGTTCTAACTGAACCTCATGAAACGGCACTGAATCCCACTGATACAGCTAACAAGATAAACGACCTCTTCTCAAACATAGGATCTAATCCCGCCAGTAAAATCCCACGTACCAATGCCCGTGCTGGGGACTACCTTGATGGGAATTTCCCAAATTCCTTCTATCTTGTACCAACTGAGTCCACGGAAGTCACAGCGATCATAAAGTCACTTAAAAATAACTCGGGGGAATCTGTCTCACGTCCCACCATTATTGTACAAGTGAGCGGCCCATGTCCTATCGCATGCTATTACATTACTTTTTAACAAGTCACTAGAAACTAGCACTTTCCCGACACTAC